TTTTTTTTGAAATGTTAATTAAGGTGTCCACTTACATATTCGGTTAATAATTTTTATTTGTTTAAACAAAATTACTTTGTTACAATATTCAGTTATAATATTCTAATGGCAAAAAAAGTACTTACGTAGCGTGAAATTATCTTTTGTGATGTAACTCTTTCAAAATAAAAATGGTTGCCAGCAGGGGTGTATATGTAGATTTATTAAATACACCTTGTGCGTCAACTAGGAACCAATTCTAGAACCCGACACTCGAAATTTTTGCTCTGTTACAATCGTACCCTGTTGCAATTGACCCCACTCTCCCCTACTTTGCTACCATCTCTTACATTAAAAGAATTAAATTTGATTTTACAAGGCGTATGTACTACTAACATATAGCGTGCTCATATATTAAAAACCATGTTTAAGAAAGTTCAATTTTTGGATCTAAAGATTTCGCAGAGGAATGAGTCCGCATGTTTTGGTTCTTTCAATAGCTTCTTATCAGAAAAATTTGATAAACTTAATAGACGCATTAAAATAAATGCCAGAAATGTCTTAGGTTGACTATCGATGACTATATTAAACATATCGATTAATCATTTTGATAGAGATGTAAATTTATAAATGTAACTTTTATGAAAAGTGAGTTATCCATTAATCTCTGAAAACTATTTTTAAAGGTCAATCTTAAATTAATTTTTTGCCCAGACACATCAATTTTGTTAAAAACTAATTAAAAAAAGCCATTAAAACATTCCTTACATTTTGCTATCAGAGAAATTAATTGAAAAGTGCATTAGCTTGAAACTCTGACCTTGATCTAAACTTTTAATTTAGTTGTGAAACTAAACAGCTATAAATATCCCATTAAAGCTTTTTTTAAAATTTGATGTATGTTTAACTGAGAACCTATTTGTTGGAGGTACAACAACTCTAAAGCAAAATACTTGAAGGTAGGTGGTTTGAATCCCACTTCAACCCTGGATGCATCATTTGTGCTTTTTGTTCTTCTACTTGACAAGAGCTCATAAACATTCTTATCAATGAGCTTACAAGTTTGCATGTGTAACAATAAATAAACCCCTTGGCTTATTGAATTTTGTTTGCACAAATATGTTTAGTGATTATGTTTCCGTTTATTGTTATAAATTGCTGGGCAACATGCAAAACAAAAGTATTCTTATCTTTGACATACGTACAAGGTGTTCGGCAGGAGAAAAAGGTAGAAAACTGACTTAGCTCGTCGAACTTACCGAAAGTAGATCGTAAACAACAGTTGTCTTATGTAAGAATGAACTATGGTTTGCTTGACTCAGAGATTCTGTCATTTAAAAGTTTACTGTGCACATATAAATGAATTTTTACGAGAAATTCTGCGATTTAATGGGAAAAATATTCATAAAAATTCCTTTCATGACAATTGTATTACTACTAAAACGTAAGTTATAATATAAGTTTTATAATTACTGTTTATAATTTTTATTTTTGGCTTAAGGAGGAAGATAACTGTAATCTCTTTGAAAAAAAAATTGTTAAGGCTGCCGAGGCTGTTTTGGGTATTCAACTTAGCGTTACACTTTGTTTTGCCGTACAAAAATTATATGACTTGGAAGCTTGAAATTACAAAGGTAAGTTCGCCTTCCAATGCGGTGATTCAGGTTCGAATCCCAGCGATGGTTGGTCGATACGAGTTTCGCATCCGGTTTGCACCAACACAGTGCTGAAGTGAAATATCCTCAGTAGTAGACAAATCATGGGTTAGAGTCCTCTTGCCGTCAGGCTAACTGTGAAAAGGTTCTCGTGGTCTTTCCCTCCATGCAACATAAATGCGGGTTAGTTCCACCAAAAAAGTGCTCCACGAAGGCAAAATTCCTCACAATACTTAGTTCAGGAGTTCCCTTGTCTTCTAGATGAGGTTCAAAATTACAAGGCTACGCAGTAGAGCGTTGGTAGTGGTAAATTGGCTACGTAGTTGAGCATTAGTAGTCGTAAACACGAAAATTAGGTCGGCTGTTCAACGATGGTTGTAAAATATAAAATAAAAGGTATATAGTAAAATGTACAGAATGTACAATCGATTAAAAAAATTAACATTCGATGATTAGTACGAGAATGAATAGTACTGGTAATCTTGTGGGGAGAAAAAACATGCGGGTAGCTGTGCAGACAATAAAAATGCAGCTACAAAGTTGAAATTTTGTATGCTGAAAGGGCCGTATTTGTTTGTAAACTTAACAGAGAGTTTTTTTTTTTGAGAATTTTTTTACACTTTTATTTTGCTTTTAGTTCGATTTTTCTTTGCTGCACACAATCTATATCATTTGGAGACTTGAAATGACGAAAGTTTCGTGAAAGAAGTACAAGGATGAATAGAAAAAAACAACTTAAGATCCAACAATTATTTCGCGATTTTTTAACTGTTAAACTTTTAAGAAAAATTTATCATGTTTATTCGATCAGTAGCTCGCTAAAAAGTAACTACGGAGTTTGACGTTCTGAAAAAGTCATTTTTATTTTTGAACTTGACGTGAATTTTGTTACAAGCTTCAAATTTGCTCAAAAGTTATTGCAAATTTAAGAGCATTTTTGTGATTTTTTTCAGCTATTTCGTTTTAAATATTAGCAATTTAACCATTGTAGCTAACGCTCGAATAAGATGTCAATCAAAAGTAACAAAGAGGGAGAGATTGCATGTTGACAGATATAAATCTTAACATTAAGCTTGAAGATTTTGAAAATAAAATAAAACTTAATAAAGAGAGGTAAAAACCGTTCCATATTTGAATCATAAGTCTCGTCAATGAGTAAAATTAGTGAATTCCACAATCTGTATTCCTTAACTTTTTTTAAGTGCCAATGATTATTTTTCAAGTCTAGGTAATCGTCTATTTCGTTACGATTAACATAAGCTGTCTTAAGAAAATTATGGAAAGATTAGCTTGCAAAACCATTTACATTTACTTTTATAATGTTCTACAAGATCTGACCAACCAGTACAAAAAATAGTAATGATTAAAAATTATGAGTTATTAAAAACGCATAATGAACGATTTAATTTTTGAGAAACATATGCTAAAGGTGGACATATGCTGAAGGATGACATAAAGTCCGCGTTTAGCATATATTTTCTATGCTAAAGGCGGGACAGTATTTTTATTTAATTATCACCTGATTTAGAATGCAACTCGCAAATTATTGACATAATTGCACGGAAAAAGTATGTAAATTTTTAAGTTATATCTAGTAAAATGACATCCTTTTTTAAAAGAAAAAATATCTTAAAAGTTAGTTCCTAGATTCAGTCAAAATGTATATAACGGAAACTGCATTAATTAGAAGCATGTTAAAGTAATCTGTAATTGGATGATGATAAGTTGGATTTAAAATTGAAATAATTGCGATTTTTGAGTAGATTGAATTTTTTACTCCCTCACAACAATAATGCCGTAACTCAAAAATTTAGTTTTTTTTTAACATTTTTTTATTGAAACCAAGATTTGACGTAGAAGAAAAAAAGCAAAAATGCTGTTCCTCATAGAAAAGCTGTTTCCAGCGTCACTATTTCATAGTAAAGAAGCTGTTTTAACTACAATTCTTGATAAATCATTAACAATTGGGAACTTTTTCTTGCTCTTCCTGGAAAAATCCCTTTAAGTTACGATTTTATTGTTACACAGGTGTATTATGCGCAAAAATTCAGACATTTCAGAAATATGGGCATTAATGCAAAATACTCCGCATCCTTGTCATTTGTTTGTAAACACATCAGTTTATACTTTTAAGAAAATTTTGTCGATTATATATTTTATCAAATTAAGTAAATATGATAATTTTGCTTTCAAATTTTGAAAATGCAGTTCATATAAAAACTATTGTTTTCCTAGTGGTCGTTCTTAAAATTTTAAAAATATAATTACTATAGAAAATTAAAAAAAAAATTTATTAAGAAATATTTATTGTGCTGAAATTACAATTAGAAGTAATATAATATCTTGACAGAAGTATAATATATTTTGTTTTCCGTGATGGCCTCATTTATTACATGTTTTTAAAATTCTCGTCAGAAATAAAGTAAAATAATAAATATCTATATTTTTAAGATAAATAACAGGTTTAAAATCAATATCAATATTTAAAACAGAAGTTTTATTTTTGGAATCTAACAATTCACTACTGTCTTCTTCTTCTTCTTTCAAATCCCCATTTCTAGCCTAGCTAGACAAGGTCCATGAGATTTTTCACCTTCAAAAAGTCAAAAAAAAGTAAGGGTCTTTCAATTAGGTCTTGTTTTAAAAGACCGAGGCAGTCCAGTAGATGTTCAGGGGATGCCTGGGCCGAAGAGCACTTGGTACAGAGGGCAAAGCACTTTTCTCCCCCAGAGTACCTCAGTGATTTCAGGTGTCCACAGCGGAGACGTGTGATGGCGGTTTGAAACTGACGGTCTTTGTCTGATTGATTTTAGGTTTTAGCAATGGAGAAGAGCTCTGAGGATGTAAGAGACACTGGAGGCGCAGTGGCCTCAGCTGCACCTGCCTTGGCAAGACTATCTACCATTTTATTGCCTGATATATCTACGTGTGAGGGTATCCATTGTATATTGTGCATATTCTCTCCAATTCACTACTGGGGCAAACAGAACTGAAAACATCACAATCTATTTAAAGAAGATGTTGAAACAAGTTGAAACGCAATTATCGAAAACACCTCAAGGCAACTCTATATAGTATAACCAACTTGTTTTTAACGTCGTCTTATCTAGTTAGATATAAAATAATTTTTTTGTTCATTGCTTAAATATTGATTTGAGGCCTTTAATGTGTATATTCCTGGAATATAATATATACCAGTACTATAAGTATATATCATTACTACTTGTTCATACCAGCTTCAAGAAATATTTTGTAGTTAAGCAGTATAGGTTAAAAAACATTTATATTTAGCCCCCGAGTTCACAATTTTATTAATATATTAAAAAAGGTTCAATAAATAGGTTCAATGTTGAACAAATTCATGGATACCGGATCACAATTGGAATCCCCGCAAGCGTCCTGGAGGAGCCCTTGACCTTCAGGGTACACGTGCCGACCAAACCGCTACCTGTAGATTTGTCAGGGGGCATACTAAGAGCCTCGTTTTCAGTGGACAAAATAAACTTTTTCCAACTTGTAAAAAGTGCAACTCCAGCAAGGCTTGTCCTCGCCATCTACTTGATTGCCTGGATTTCACCATGGAAGAGGTTCTTGAGAGACCTCTCCTTTTCCTCGATTTTTTGAAGACTCACGGCCTCATGGATCTGGTATAGCTCCGCTATCACAGCTGTGATTGGAAACAACAATGGTGAAAAATATCTGTCAAATTTGATGCAGTTTCAATAAGGCAAACAGGTTGAACCATATACTTCAGATTAAACTATACTATTAAAGGTAAGTTACTTAGTTCAGATTAAACTATACTATATTATAGATAAGTGTATAAAGGATTGTTTCACTCAGATGTCAGATACGTCATGAAGGTTGCGGCAAATTAGTTTGACATAAAACCGTATTTAATAGTGTATACAGCTTTCTTCATTACAATAACTGAGTGAACAATAACATTATACAACATGAAAAATGTTCTTTAAAAGAAATATGAGTTTCTTGTCTAGTTTTGATTTAACATAACGAATCTGTATTTTTTTTTACCACAAAATTATTTTCTTCAAGAACTCACTTTTTAGCTTAATGACTTTGCGAATTTTAACAGCATTCAATAACTCGAAAAAAAGGAACTATCATTGACAGTGTGGTCGTCATCAAATTTATGACCATTTAGGTGATCTTGGCGACAATTTTTTGTGATTAAAGCCTTGCTTACTTTCCGGAAGTTTCGAAGCTCTTGAAGCATTTGGAAGCAAGATATCCTAGAATTATCTTAGGGTGAATTTGTTCTTTCTTTTAAAAAAAGAATGAGATGGACCATTTTGGTTCTGATTAATGAATCAAGCACCTTTTGTTTATACAGGATCATATAGTTTAAAGTCAAAGTCAGAATAAACGTTATAAAATATTGTAAAATAAGTCTAAAACCCTTTCCTAGCCACTTGTAAAGAATATGCAACATACAAGTACAATGTCAAATATAAATAATTTAAATTCATTAAAAAATTAACAAGAATGACAATTATTGTGGTACTATAAAGAGAGACAATAGAAATGTAGACGCTAAATGGTGATGGTTATCAGTAAATATTTTTACCATCTCAAAGAATATTACGCCTTTGTATCATTGGTTACACTACTCCTTAGTGCTTAGTCAAAGTTAGTAGCACAACTTAGTACTCACAATAATGCAGTGATCAGGCCATCTCAGAAAAACCTGGTCTACGCATTTTCATTTAACTGCTTAGCATTATTTCTACATAATGCTAGAACAGGTGTGAGTTTCACAACTATGCAGCAAGTGAAACTACTAGCCATTATGATGCAATATACCCAGCCATAAGATCCCAAAGTTTCTCGGCAAAATCCTACGAAATTAAAAGAAAATCATTATTGAGAATATTTACGTAGAACATATCATTTTTTAAATCATAATCACAAATTAGCTCATCGAATATCCTTACTGGTCAGTCACTTCTGGCATTCATAAGCCTCCGTTTATATTTCAAAAACTTTAAATAAAAAGTTTATTTTGATCGGAGTTGTTTTGAGTATTATGAGAATAATTTTATTTGTCAAGATTTTTATTATTGAAATCAAAAACGATTACACAATTGTCTTTTTTTAATTGTGATATTGTTGGTTTCTTTAACGGATTGGTGCTCCGAGTTAATTAAAAATATATATATGAGAGTATCACAAAAAATTAAGTAAAAAAAGGTTTGTACAATCATTTTTTTTTTAATTGGACTAAGAAAACAGAAGTATTATACTTTTAAGATACTGGGTACTGATAACCGAAACTTATTTCAGTGTTTTCTATAATTATCTCATACTAAATTTTTTTATTTAAAAGTTTGCAGCGTTTTCTCATGGGCAATTCAATCAGAAATTATCCTTTATACCACAATTAATAGAAATAAACATGTAAAAGAATTAAAAACCCATTTTTAATTAATATTCTATCTACAGAAAAAACTCTTTTGTGACGAGGTGTATGATTAGATATTGAGTCATTGATTATTACTCAGAGCCATTAACCTTCACCAATTCCAGAAAGATACTTCAGAAAATTTTTACTCGGGAGAGCCTAGGAAAAAGCAATTTGTTTACTGAGTGTAAGCTGAGCTAGGGCTTCTTGAAGGATAGAGTGGCCATGATTTTTGCTCCCGGCTCGCCTCGACCACAGTGTTGATATTAAATATCCTCATTAGTAGACGGATTATGGGTTAGAATCCCCTTGCCGTCGAGTTAACCATAGGAGATTTTCGTGGTTTTCCTCTCCGCGTAACGAAAATGCAAGCTAGTTCCATCAAAAAGTTCTCCACGAAGGCTATTTTGTTTCAATGCATGATCCAGAAGCTACCATGTCTTTTGGGTCGGGTTCAAAACTACAAGGCTACAGAATTGAACATTTATTTATTTATTTATTTTTTATTTCCAATGAGCTGCACAATCGGTCTTGCCGATGAGCGTTCTCCAGAGATGGTATCCGCTCTTTCAGGATCACCACAATGGGTGAGATACCGTTGGTCATGTTAATTTGGACGCCCAGTTTCTGCCACACTAGATGGCAGCACCGAGACTCTATTTGGATGCTAAAGTGCACTAGGAATTTAATTTTGCCGGAATTGCCAAGAGCCAATAAGGCACTCCAGGGATCTTTTACATGCCGCACAATCATACGACATGACCTCTGAGGATTTTCTGTATCCCGAAAATCCGGTGTCTGGGCCGGGGATCGAACCCGCAGACTTGGGCTCAGAAAGCCGAGAATTGAACATTGGTATTTGTAAGCCTAAGAAAGGGTCGATTGTTCACCGCCAGTTATAAAATAAAATGAATGTAAACAGCATAGTTAAAATAAAATACATTAACTACGAAATACGTTCATAGACTTCGTGAGAGAATTTAACAGTTCGTACTCTCCCAAAATATCAGCACTTGTACTCTCAAGCAACTATCTCTGAACGTACTAAGCAGAGTGATACTGTTCGTTTTTGAAAACGAGAACAACCATTCAGGGATAATTCTACTCTACTTCGGATCATACGCCTAAGATGTACACTTTCTGAAGTCTTACGGTACATAGGCGCGATGCACATCAAAGTATACAATTCATTATCTTCTCTCTCATGTTACCCTTATTTTTATGAAAACGGAGCAGATCTGGTCCTTACGGAAACACGTGGAAGATCTTCGGACATATGAGTATACAATACTTGCTAACTTGTATGATTTTTTCGAAAGATGTTTTCCAGCGTATTGTGTGTGCTTTAGAGTATTTATTTTAAACTTAATTTAACCATCGCAACATAAAGAATTAAAAAAAAACATACTTAAGAGCCCTGAATATTATGCCTTATATGTGTTAAAGATTGACAAAGTTTAAAAATTGCTAAAAACTGTTATACTTTTATTCTGCATTCCAATTTCCGTTATCAAAAATCTTTAGCAATAATAAGTTGGCAGCTACGAATATGGTCATGGATATTGCTTCTTCATGCAGAGTGAATCTGAGCAACATGCTGGTTTAGTAACGCAACTCAATATGCTATAATTTTATATTACATTGTATAAAATGTGCAATTGAAAATCAACTTTATATTGTTATATTTACAAAACGCCCATAGTTTTTTTTATAATTAGAACTATTAATATTAAGTACAGAAGTTATAACATCTGTTATAGCATAAATATCAAGCAATTTATAAATTTTAAATAAATTAGAAAAATTATAATTGTAAAGACAATATGTTCTTACCTATTATTGGAGTTTTTAAAACACAAAGAAATGCATACAGGCTGAATCGAGAGGCCAGAGCCATATTTTGTTGCTCTTCTTCAATTTGTTCCATAATTATTCCTGGAAATGTTGTGGCAACAGCACCAGTTATAAAGCCGAAAACTAGAACTCCAATCATCATCAATAGGAAGTCATAGGTCCAAATGATATAACCGGCATCTAATACCAATATTAGAAAACAAGTTAAAATAAAATTCGTTCTTGTCATGAAATGACCGTCTGTGATCCAATTCAAGCACATGTTTCCAAACATTTCAGCAAACGGGATAACCATGGAAAAATACACAGACTTTTCAATTGAAATGCCTTTGTCTCTACCATAATCAACAATAATAGTCCAGTTTAAGGTGGTGACAAAGGCGTGAATACTTTGTACAATCATTATAAAATGGAACGTAGGATCAATAAATAATCGAAACGAGTTCCAAGAAAATTTGTTTTTGCTTTTTATAGCTATCTTTGTTTCGTCTGGTTGAATTACTTTCTTCATGTCGTTCCCGTCTGACGACAAACTATTTTCAAACTCTTTAAAGGACAGTTGTCTTTTAGTATATTTCGTGAGTTTGATGTTTTGCGAAACTGGAAAATCCGCTTGATTGGATAAGATTTTATGTGGACAATCATAAGTCGAATCTATTCCATTAAGCTCCATGAAAACATAATTATAATTTTTATTGTTTTTCTCTACTAATACAACTGATTCCTTGGCGCAGCTACCATGGATTATATCTTCTGCTTTTTTTGATGTTCCATAGTTTTTCTTGCTTTGGAAGGAATCGACCGGTGATTGGATAACTGTTTCTGCGGCAAGATTTTTTTCATCTGAGACAAATGTAGGATTTTGGTGATATGTAGTTATTTGCGAGTTATCTGCAAGATAATTCTCTTCTATTTTACATTTCCGTCTATCATTATGTGGATCTTCTAAGAGAATGGCAGCAGGAATACAATTTAGAAATATTCCTCCTATAAGTAAGAACATCCCGTTCGTGCCGTATGCGCTTTGAAGCGATGTTATTACTGGTGACATGACAACTGCACCCATGCATGATCCAGTTAACCATATACCATTGACGAGATTTATGTGCTCTGTGAAATGCAGCTTTAAAATGGAAGGTACAAGCGTGCAACCAAAAGCTAATCCAAAACCTGAAGTAATAATTTTTTGTTAGGCAAATTAATAAGATTCAACATGTCTACAACAGTGCTTAAATAAAATTAACGAATTTTGCAATAACTGAAGAAAATCCACACAAATATTTTTAGGAAATCATAGAGCTCCACATGTTTAAAATAATTTAATATTATTATTTATTAAGTAGCCACCTATGGCATCCAACTAATTTGAATTTTTAATTTATATGTGTAGAAATTTTACCTCAAAATTTGAAAACAATTTGAAGAAACGGAGCTAACTTATCAGAATTGACGCTCAGGTCAAAAATTTACTTCAGGGGAAGGTCAAAAATTTTCTGTTCAAGAGGGAGTTCATTGATAAATTTCTTGCTCCAGGAAAATTATGCTTCAGATTTTCTCGTGGGTGTCAGAATTTTTCCTTACCTATCACTAGATTTCAATGACTTAAAAAAGTTCTAAAAATGGATTTAACAACATCGAAAAATATCCTTAAAATAAAAAAAAATTTCTTCGCAACTAAGCAAGAATTCATTTTTTTTCTAATCATTCTTGCAATATATAATTGCATGAAAACACAAATTGAAATGTAATTTGCATTAAAGTTTGAAATTAGTAGTAATTTAATTAGTAAAAGATATCACATAATAGTTAACTAATAAAAAACAATAATGAAAGAAAACTATTTTAATACATTGTTTACTGATATTAGTTTACTTCAAAACTTTTTGTAAAATAACGCGAAATAAAAATTCATTGAATTATTAAAAGCTTTTTTTGCAATTTCAAATATGAAAAAATCTTTTTTGTCAGATAGTAAATTTTTATGTTTTCAGAGACTTAGATTAGCATCAACTGGTGTTATTGGTGGATATTTGCATAGATCTTCAATCCCATTACTTTTCTTGCTTATCTTGCCCAACCAAAACTCATAGAAGTTATTTCTGTTTTCTATGTCTATCAATGGCGGACAATGGTTATTGTTTTTCTGAAAATTGTAATGTATCAAATTGTATAGCTCAGTTAATATGTGTAGAAGCTATAAGAATCGGTTAGTACTTCAAAAAAAAATGTAAGAAGCCTTGAAATAAAAAAAAGAAGATCCGAAATTCTGAAATGCCTAAAAAATGCTTAAAAATGTCATTTTTTAAAACAAAATTCGGACCTTAGTTATTACGCAACAGCATTTTTTTTTTAAAGAAAATTCCCCCAGAACTTTGCTGAGTTTTCTCTTATCAGTATCAAAACGGTTTAAGGTCGAAAAAATGAATTAAAATGGATTAAAAAATAGAAATAGGAAGCTTTTATAGACTACAAATGTACTGTTCCCTGATTCACGAGTAAATGTAAACATTTTAGAGTAAAATGAAATTCAATTAGTTAGATAGACTAACAGTAATATAAATGATTCTCTGCTGACAAACAAAACTGTATTACTGTATTCTTATTTATATTATCCATGGTTTATTGATAACTAACAAAGACTTTTTAGGTCGACATTAGCACTTATTTATTCCAAACATTATTTGCAAGTTTAAATATATTTTTTTATTAGATCAAAAAATTGAGTGTTGCCATTTGAAATTTTCAAATTTTTGACACTGTAATCACTGTAACGGTAAATATGGATACCGATACCATTATACATATATATATATATAAATACAGTGATGGCCAAAAGTGTGGACATTTTTTGAAAGTTTCATGTTTTTCAACTTTATGTGCTTGTAGAATATATTAATTTTCACTTAAATACAAACGTTTATATATCAAATTGAAAGTAATTTAATGTAGAATTTAATAATAGATACAGTATTACAATATTTGTATTACAAAAAAAGTTATGCAATTAATAGTAAGATCTATCTTAGATTTGCATTTTTTTAAGGTGATACTTACACAATCAATACTTAGTAAGATATCCCTTATTTTTTAAGACAGCTTCACAGCGTCTTTTCATGGAGTGAACGAGTGTTTGGAGTTCCTCTTTCGTAATCACATGGTGCCAAGAATAAATTATAGATAGCTTCAATAAGTTGTCTTTTATTGGATGGACGTTTTTTTCGTACAAGAATTTTCAAACGTCGCCACAAATTTTCAATTGGATTGAGATCAGGGCTGTTTCCTGGCCGTGGTAATATATCTATGCCTTTATTTTGAAACCATGCTTTGCTTACTTTTGCTGTGTGGCATATAGCTGAATCCTGCTGAAAAATAAATGGTGCGTTGTTGGGGAAGAGATCCCTGATAGAAGGTATCAATTTTGGTTTTAAGGACAGTTTCGATGTATTTTTTGGTTTTCAGGAGGCCATCAATCACTTGAATTCGGCCCACACCATCTGCAGACATAAATGCCCAAATCATGACATTTGTTGGGTTTTTTGTAGTTGCCTCAATGCAATCAGGATGAAGTGCTTCACCTACTCTACGTCTCACATATTTTCAACCATCACTACCAAAGAGCGATATTTTACACTCATCGCTCCAGATTACTTGCTTCCATTGATTTTCTGACCATTTAATGTGTTCTTTTGCCCACTTAACTCGTTTTTTGAATTGCTTTTTATTTAAATATGGTGTTTTCCTTGGAATTCTAGCTTTTAGTCCAAATCCTGATAACCTTCTTCTTATTGTTCTTGAACTTACTGCAATACCCGCTGCATTCATTTCACATCTAATGGCATCTGATGAAATTTTTCTATCTTGAAGGCATAGCCATTTAATTTTTCTATCAGCAGTAGCACTTGTGCATTTTGTCCGGCCTGATTTGGCTTTATTTTCCACTGATTTCGTTTTTTCATAACGTAAACAGAACTTTCGTACACTGGAACAAGTCACTGAACCACCAACTTGTCTTGCAATTTCAGCATAAGAGAGGCCATTTTCTCTCAATATGACAATTTGGCTTCTTTTTGTAGGTGTCCTATTAGTTCTTCTTGTTGATGACATTGTTTAAAATTAGTTTAATTATAAAAAGGACTTTAAATATGTAAAAACAGCAATACTCTATTTAATTGTACTAGTATGCATCATTCTGCAGAATATTTCCACAACAATAACTCTTATACCATCCAAATAACCGAAACTATAGTTACAGACATTTGATTGGTCCTAAGAACAGTGTTTGTGATTGACTAGTACGCTTTTATTACAAAACGCGTCCTTGTTTGTTCTACTAAAATGAGCATAACTTTTTTTGTAATACAGATATTTTAATTCTGCTTTTGTTATTAAATTTTACATTAAATTACCTTCTATTTGATATATAAACGTTTGTATTTAAGTGAAAATTAATATATTCTACAAGCGCACAAAGTTGAAAAACATGAAACTTTCAAAAAATGTCCACACTTTTGGCCACCACTGTATATATAATGTAATCGAATACCTCTGCATCAATGATGATCCGTTAGATTTTCATCACATTTTTATCCATATAAATATTAATTTCGACTCTCAGAGCATAGTTGTAGTTTTAATTTTCGAAAAAAAAAGATTCCAAAAATATTAAAGGGAGCACTTAAGGAAAAATTAGTATTGACTAAATTGTTTGTTGTGCCAAACTCTAAAGCAAATTTTGACATATTGATGATTATAGCTCCATCAGAACACAGTGCGGTGTTGATAAACTTCGGGGCTGTTTTTACAACTTGAATAATTAGCACAGTAATAGAAATTTAGCATATTCAAACATTTTTTGAAACGAAAGTGGATTAATAAACATTTATTGCACTTTCAGAAATGCAAATACATGCACATCAATTCAAAATTTTAGTTACATTCATTTTATGCATTTACATTTATTTTATGCATTACTTTTTCTTAATTATCAGTATGGAATTTCTTAACAAATTGAAAAATGAAACATAAAAAAAAAATCATACCATAAATAAAACCAATGCAAATAGTGGCAGTATTAATGTCCTCAGCAAAAAAGCAACTTCCTATTCCTACTGCTGTAAAAATACTTCCAGCTAATATAACAACTTTAATCCCAAATGTTTCACCTAAAAATGCAGTGAAAGGACCTAAAAATAAAATTTTTGTATTTAAACTATTGAATTTAGACTTTTTAACTGTCTTATTATCAAAAAAAAAAATAATGCTGTCATCATACATTGTTAATAAGAAGACCTCTTTTGATTTGCTATGTAACCAAAAATAAATAAAAAATAATGTGTGCAAGTATACAAGTACTTGCACACATTGTTCATTTTCTGTTTATAAATTTGTTTTGTTTTTCGTGTATTAAATGTTTGTTTACATTCTTTTTTCAAATGGGGCTTCGGGAAACAAATAGCACTCTTGTTAAACAGTTGTTCACAGAAAATCACAACAAAAATGCATTCTCTTAAAGATGTCCTGTATTGCAGTCATATTTCTTCTGTTCTACTTCAATATACTTTTCTATTTCTCATTAAGTGTAATTCTCCATTTTTTTAATAAATGTAATTGAAGACAAATTTTCGACTTATGCTGCTTTGGCGCTTTACCAGGTTTGCCTTAGATTTTGATATTTTGTTTCTTGTTTGATCTTCAGACTGGTTTTTATTTAAGAATTTGATTCGATAAGTTATATTTACTTTTAATACAAGGTTTGGGCATAACTACGTCCTGTCAACATATATATGCACTTTAAATAACGAATACGAAATAATCATGTGACTTTGTAAACCAGCCACATTGGGCCAGAATCTGACACCTAGTATGATAACGCCGAGAAAAAAAATCGAAAATTTTAATTTAATGTGAATGCTGAAATTATCCAGTCTTGCTGGAGTTATCCCCCTGAATAATCTTGTAAATATTAAGCAAAGAGTGTAAAAAAGTTTCTTAGGAATTTCATATTAGTTTAAAAAATTCTGAAATAAAGGTCAGATATCCCTTTAAAAAGTTTGAAGCATTGAGTTCCATTCTTTACAGACGAAGAGTTCATACTAAAAATAAATTAGAATTAAAATGTTCATCTTCGATGCAAAAACATCTAAATAGGAGAAAGAAATGATTTGCATCCAGTTAAAGTAACAACAATGGCGACATACATTAAATGATGAAAAATATGTAACTTTGAAGTGTAAAAACAAAACATTGTTTATTGTCTGTCTGCCGAGAATGTATTCCTTTTTGGAATTATCAATGCTAGGTTTCATTGTTCCATCTTTTCAACAACGACTTAAGTGTTATGCAATGTTTTCATTTCCATTTTATTGGGCTCCTATTTACGAATGAAATTTATTCACAGTGTATCAGTGGTTTAATGAAAAAATAAGTTTTATGATATTAAGTATTTTATATTCTTGTATCAATTAAAACAACAGAGCCAAATTTTTGACAAAGGAATAAAAAATTGCTTTTACCAAACTAAAGTAATGTAATAAAAATGAAAGCAATTATTGAAATGAACAGCAGCGGCTTAGATGTGTTGGAAATGTTTTATGTATCATGCAAATCAATTGTTCTTTGAAAGTTGTTTCATTAAGTGGCAACATCTTTAAATAATGCTATAAAAACCTGCTGGATAGAGAAAGAAGGAGATCCTGTTGGTAGACATACGAACGCAGTGGTAAGTGACTGTAGGTCCGTTCCAGAGTTCAATGAGTTTAAATCACTGAGATGGTGATGTTTGATAGCAATCTATAACTGTTATGTTCTTATTTAACTGCAAAGCAAATTGTATATTTAATGTCATAAATACTGTTTTTTTATCTCCAAGCTTTGTCATGTCTCTACACACAAAGAACACAACACAAAAGGTTAATGTACTGCGCTATTAGTATAAAGAACCGAGTTCTATCTTCGGCGGCGGAGGTTGAAGTCCAACACTTGACATCGATGGGTACTAGCTTGTCTGAGAAAAAAAAAGAGCCTGTATTCCGTGTGGATATCATTATTAAATATCAAGCTATTTGTCTAGAAATTGTGGAGTCTTAATTTCCTTACCCCCCCCCCCCCCCCCNCCCCCCCTCCCGGGAAGAAAAACCTTCTGCTGCGGGATGTGTTTACTTTTTACTAACTGAAATATTTTTTTAAAAGAAATTTTAAAACATTATTTTGAAATATGGATACAATTGACTACTGATATAAAGAAATAATGAAAAAGTAAAAATAAAACATTTTTCTCCGACTGATTCCAGATTTCTCTGACGGATTCCAAAACGAAAACCAAGGCGAAATCGTGATAAAAGAATATGATTCTTTCTCAAATGTTTTTAAATCTTGAAAAGTAATTTTCGAAATTTGCATGCAAGTTTCAAAAATGTTACAAAATAATTCTTTCTAAAGAAAAGGCGCATTGATTTTAAATAATCGTTACATTTCAATAACTTGTTGTCAATAACATTTTTTTTTCATTTAGATCCATGACAAAAACAAACTATTTTGAAAATGCATGTTTATGAAAGTTTTTATTATGAAATAAAAGGGTAAGATCAGTAACATCAACTGATAAAATTTAATTCGATTGTCAATTAAATGAGTTAAATCTTTTAAAGTGTAGCCTTAAAAAAGATTGCAATAACATACTCAAAGTATTTTTAATGATACTTACACTTTCTGGAACTTTTTAAAACTTAATTTAAAGCGTCATCTATTTTTATGGAACATTACTTATGTACATTTCTCCTCAAAATAAGCTTCAGTATGCTCTCACAACAATATGTATCTCCTCCTAATAAATGATGCAATTCTTAAACTTAAAAACTTTTTTTCTGCTAAAGCTTTAATTGCTTTGACAAGCCAGCTATCAGCTCTAAAAAATATAATTTTGCCGTTGTTCTATGTATGACTGTTCACCCGTATTAAGTTTTAATTACATAAATATTAATTTTTAACTTTATTAAATAATCTGGATAACACAAAAAATTATTTTAGGTATAAAAACAATTCTCTATGCTGTAAATAAATTTTTTTATTATCATTAAATTAAAAAGTAATATAATTTTTAAAAATCAAATTGTGATTGGATGATAATAGATTTATAATTATGTTAAAATATTTTTAAACTCTCTAAAATAGTTTCAAAGTTATGGCAAAAAACTCAATGATTGAAATAAGGGATCTAAAATTGTGACACTTTCCTGCGAGAACAATTGAGACCATATTATCAAGATTCCAGCTATTTCCATTATTTTGACAGCCAAAAATCCAAATCAGTTTAAAAACGGCTTGTTTTATTTGTGGGGGGTAAAGCACGGTTTTGCATCTAATTTCATAACTTGAAATTTAATCTGCTGAAATTAATTAGCATATTTAAGGTTTATCCCTTTTTTTCTATTTTTTTCTACTAAATAACATTTTTAAGCATACTTATTTTATTGCGGAGCCTGCCCTTGACAAAGAAATAAATCAAACAGCATTTAACTATGAATCAGAAAGAATTATGGGATATAAGAATTAAGGTTACAACTATAAAGATTGTTACATGAATAATTCAGGCAACTAGGTTTATTCATATTTGCATAAGAACCATAAAAAAAGTTCATAAACATTTAGGACATAAAAAAGGCAGCAATAAAATGAATGAACCATCCATTTATTCAAATATGTCAAAAAGAAATGGGCTATTTTTATCATATTACTGCGTAAAGCAGCTGACGTTATACGACATTCCAATAAATTAAATTATTTTCGATAAACGACGATCGATAGTAATTTATATAGATTATTGATTTCAACATATTAAAAAGGAAGCATTTACTTTCAGAAGCAAAACACATTTTTTTACAATTCGGCAATCTATGAACTGTATTTCACTATTTTTTTGAAATTTGACACGATATCGCGTGATTTTAAACGAAACACTAATTATTAAATATTCCACGAAACTGTTTCTTTACTTTGGTCTTTGTAGTACATTTTGAGTTTGCCAACATTTTTTTTCATCTTTAAAAATGTTTGAATTGTATGTTGGGTTGTTTCATTCCCCTGTCAAGCAGATCCGTGTGACTTAAATACAATTACGATAAATAAGAGGAGTTCCTAAACTTAATGTCATATTTTTTGAAAAATTCTGTTAATAGCACTACTAATTTACTGAATTAATTTAGATTGTATTAAGCTTAATCGAAACTGTATTAAACCTAATGCTTCAAACTTTATCTCATATTTTCTGAGCAAATGTGTTAATTGAACTTAGCAAATGTGCTTAATTGAAACTGTATTAAGCCTAAAGATTTTCAAGAAATTCGTATCCGCAAACAAAATAATATAGTAATTTCTTAAATTAAACGATATAGTTTTTCTTAAATTATTAAGTTTTCTTGGACCATTTAACTGTATACTGTATTTACAATGCTTGACTTTGAACAAAACGCTATGGATCAAATATTTGACGAAACTATTCCCTCACTCTGGTCATCTTAGTGCATTTTAAGTTTTCCAACATTTTTTTTCTATCTGATTTTAAAATCGTTTGGATTGTATGAGCAGATGATACATTAGCTTGGCAGTCAGATTTCTTGTGTTTGACTCCTGCCAGTGACATAGTAAACATTCCGCGATAATAACAGGGGTAGTTATGTCTCCTTAACAATTGTGTTAATTGAACTAGTAATTTCCTAAATTAGGATTGGCTGGTTTAATCAAATGTAAACGCATGATTTATGCAACGGTTTAAACCAAATTTTTCATAAAAGAAATCTTTTTAATGATTTAAATGTTTATTACTTATATAAACATACAAGAAAGTATACAATTATAAATTAATTAAATGCTAAAAATATAAATAAACAAATAAATTTGATCAAATTCACATTTCATTTTATTTATATATTGTTACACAAGCATATGTTGACTTTTGTGCTCATTGCAAAAACTAGCATATAAGTCCTTATCAAATTGAAGAACATATAGCTCAAATTAGAGAAGGATACCACAAAGATACATCCAGGGTTAAGGCAGGATTGGACCCCTTCAAACTATAAACACAAGCATTCCAATTGAGGGTCATGTTTCCGTATTATATTTTTACTTTTTTTTTTACTTGTGAAGAAGAGTATGGAAGCAGTAATAAATTTAGGAAGAAGAAAATTGATCTCATGGAAATCGAAAACATAAAATGTCGAAATTCTTACCATATATTATATTTACCATGTATACGTTTGATCACGAATTTGCAATTATCGTTCGACATTATTTGAACATTTTATACTAATATTTATACATTATAATGTTTATATATTATAATATTTATATATCATATTATATATTATATTATGTTATATCAAATTCAATTGTCACGAGAGTCTGATTTTTTTTTCTAATTACATTTCTTTNCTTTTTTCAGTGGCGCCATCTATGGCTAAGAATTCGACTGCTGCCACACCATTCACACAACAACAATCCCGTTTATAGGGCGGGTCACATTCACACACACAAAAGAGAAAGGACATATAACACACAGAGAGAGAAAGAAACATCCATGCCTTGCCCGGGATTCGAACCCAGGACCTTTCTGATGCAAATAAGTTTTGATATTTTTTGATTTTGATTAGAAAAATTTGCTGCTTATTGTGAAGCCTTCAGATTTTAAAACAGATATAATAAAATATTTAAAATTGATTATTACATTTTTCATCATGTAATATAGTAAAATATATTCAATGATAATAATTATTATATATTAGTCATTTTATTCATAATTACATTCATGGCGACAGTTTATTATTATCGCTAGAAATAAATTACTATAGTCAGTGATAAATTGTGTTTTTTTCGCTGAGTCATTAAAATTTCATAACCTCAATTTATCTTTTGTTACCATATTTGCAAATAAAAATACCTTTTGAGTAGCTGATCTCTTAAAATAATTTTCTGAATTTACGTGTCAGTTTGGTAAAAATTAAAAACCTCCCCATACCTCACTTTTCATTATGTAAGATTATAAAACAATTGTATTAATCGTTATTATTGTATAAATATTATATTTATTATTGTATAAATATTATATTAATTATTGTATAAATATTATATTTATTATTATATCCACAACGACAATTTATTATTGATTATAAATAAGGATTAACTTCACTGATTCATTACAATTTCATAGCCATATCATATTTGTGACTATTATTAGAGTATTACAAGAGTAACTAATCTGTACAAATAATTTTATAATCTGAATATTAGTTAGAACAAAATTGAAAGTCTTGGTCAGATCACTATTGACATTAAGTAAGATTATAAAATACTTGTGCCAATTATTATCATTTTTTAATTATTATATTTGCAATTATAATTATAGTTACAATTTATTATTGATAAGAAATAATGATAATCAGTGATAAAGTGCTTTCTTCTTTGAGTTAATAAAATTTTAAAACCACAATTAATTATTTATAATCATATTAGTGGTTATTAATATAGCATGAGTAGCTAATCAGTTAAAATAACTTTATAATAATGTTTATTAGATGAAAATTTAACGCTTTTTTATACCTCACTTTTCGTAAATAATATAAGATATTTTGTTTATTATTTTTATTATTCATTAATTATTATATTCACTATAAAATTTTATGAATAATTATAAAATGTTATAACTTTTACTTTCTTCACAGCCACAATTTATTATTTATTACCGCATTTGTGACTTTAAATACTATAATATGCCGTGAGTAGCTAATTTGGTTAGAATAAATTTTTAAGATGAATATAAAATGAGTTAAAATATTAAAAAGCCTTTATAGTGCACTTATCATTTAGTAATATTAAAAAAAATGCTTTCTCTATACTTATTTATAATGATGATTTATTATTTACCATAAATAATAATTTAATATAAGTTCTTTTTCTTAGATGAGTCATAAAAATATCATTACCACTCTAGTTATATTTTAAAAGTATGTATGACTAATTAAAAATAGTAAAAATAGTTTTATAGTCTTAGTGTTAGTTAAAAAAGTTAAAAGCCTTTGACCTACGACACTTGTCATTAATTAAGATTAAAAAGTATTCTCCTAATTATATTATTATTATTTATATTAGTAATGATAATTTCATAGATAGTTACCAGAGAGTCGTAGCACTAAAATGGTTGCGAAAAAAATAATTAAATTGTTTTAATTTGCGACCACTAAAAAATTCAATATCTAATTCACAGGTCTAACATATTCGTTTAAATTGGTTCCATTTATTATTGGTTTATATAATTGTAAATCGAATTTATTAACTCAAAAATAAAATTTCAAATCATAAATTTACTTTACCATTTTAAATATTAAAAAAAACTACGACTTAAACTGAAAAAGTGGGCATGTATGTAATTTATTATTGATTATAAGTAATGATAAATCAGTTATAAATTATTTTTGGATGAGTCATAGAAACACCAGCACCCCAAGTAATATTTTATAATTACATATGATTAATTAAAAATAGTAAGTAGCTGATCGGATAAAATAATTTTATAGTCTTAGTGTTAGTTAAAGAAAGTTAAAAAGCCTTTGACCTACGAAACTTGTCATTAATTAAGATTAAAAAGTATTTTCTTAATTTTTTATTATTAATTATATTCATAATGACAAGATCATAGATTCCTACCAGAAGGTCATAGCACTAGAATGGTTGCAGAAAACAATTAAAAAACCTTTAATTGTTTTATTTGCTGCAACTATTGGTTTATATAATTGTAAATTAATTATATTAAATATATAATTATAAATCAAATTTACGAACTCAAAAATAAAATTGAAAATCATAAAATTTACTGTCACTTTAAATATTTAAAANAACTCTACTGCTCAAACGGAAAAAATGGTCATGTATGGAATTTATTATTGATTATAAATAATGAGAAATCAGTTATAAATTCTTTTTTGATGAGTCATTGAAACATCAGCACCATAAGTTCTATTTTATAATTTTATATGATTAATAAAAAATAATAAGTAGCTGATCTGATAAAATATTTTTACGGTCTTAGTGTTAGTTAAAAAAAGTTAAAAGCCTTTGACCTACGACACTTGTCCTTAATTAAGATTTAAAAGTATTTTCTTAATTTTTTATTATTAATTATATTCATAATGACAAGATCATAGATACCTACCAGAAAGTCATAGCACTAGAATGGCTGCAAAAACAATTAAATAATCTTTAATTGTTTTATTTTGCTGCAACTATTGGTTTATATAATTGTAAATTAATTATATTCAATATATAGTTGTAAATCGAACTTACGAACTAAAAAATAAAATTGTAAATCATACAATTTACTGTCACTTTAAATATTTAAAAACTCTACTACTTAAACGGAAAAAGTGGGCATGTATACAATTTATTTTTGGTTATAAATAATGATGATCAGCGATCAGTTGTGCTTTTCGTGAGGAATCCTAAAAATGTCATAACCATAATTAAAAATTTTATCATTATCATATTCATAATTATTAATATATCATGGGTAGGTAATTTGTTAAAATGATTTTACAATTTAAATGTAAGTAAAAAAAGGTACGATATTTATTAGTTAGAAAAATTAAATAACAAAAATAATTATTAAATATTAGTTTAAAGCTTTTGTCATTCCACAATAGTTCTCAAGTGAAAATAATTTTATTAATTTATATATCCATAGTTATGTTCTCTATGAATATTTATTAATGATTATAAATAATGATTATCGGTGTAAAATTGAGCTTTTTTTTGCTGTGTCATTGAAAATTTCATAACCTCAACTTATCATTTATAACGATATTCATGATTAGTATTATAGCGATAGTGGTTAATCTGTTAAATTAGTTTTATAATATAAATATTGGTTAGATGACCTTTACCTTTTAAAACCTTTTGCCATACCACACTTTGTTATGAAGCAAGAAAACAAAATATATTTTTTAATTATTTGCAATAAAATAAATGTCTCATCAAATGTCATAAAATTAAATATAATGTTTCTTTAAAGTATTTAAGTCCATAATCTAGAGCTGAAATAAGCATTTTAGTAGTAAATAAAGCTTCATTTAAAGTTTAAATTAGGCTTACTTAAAAACGCGGTTTGAATTGGTTACAATGGTCGTTTAAAGTCATCAATCAATCATTGAATGATTAAATTTTATATTCTACGTTTGTATCTTACCTGTTAACGTTCGTAATACACCAAATATTACTATAGGCATAGATGCTTTTTGCCTATCGGTGTCATAACCATCTAAAAGAATCACAAAGAATAATCCAGATAAACGCATCGGTACTCCGACAAAAAAAACTACAATTGAACAAGCTATTACAGTTAACCAACTGGTCCAACTATTATAACCCGTTTTTTCCATTTGCGTATAAGAGATAACTCTGTAGCAAAACCCAATCATAAATATAAACTAAATGATGTTTAAATAAGATTTCTGTGCGAACTGGCAACTAAGATTTAATAAAAGAAATATATAACAGCTGAATGCATTTGAAGAACTAATTCCGAGTAAACTTTTTGCGTGTCATATGTTTGTAGTCGTCAAGTATACACTTGATTTAGCACAAAACTACTACGAAGCGATTATTTATACAGATTGCATTGTTATTTTTTTTAATTAAATTTTCGCATATCTAAACGCGTTCTTCGTCACTGCTTTCAGGCATTCAAGTGGCATCAGCTGTAGATGAAAATAAGAATTTACAAGACTACTATTCTTACCGTTTCTGATGGCGAACATTCGAGAAAAACAGGCGACAAATATGTTGATTCTATTTAAATTCAGGAAAATAACTAACGATTCGGTTTCCGAATAATGTTTAATACATGACTTTTACAGAATCGGGAATTTTTTAAAAACTCGATAAATTTTTAATACAATTTAAATAGATCTTCGGAAAACTGTTGCTAAAAAATAACGCACTTGATAAACTGTTTAAGCATAAATTACTTGAAATAATAAAATTAATTTTGCGTAATTAAATACTTCATATGTACAGTATATGCCAAAGGAAACGGATTTCAAAAAAGTCAAATATTTAAAATTCAATTTCTCAGGACCAATTTCAACCGATTTCGCTTAAATTTTGTATTTTTTCATGTAAAATTGTAATTTTTAAAAATGATGCAATTTTTTTTAACTTTAGAATTAAATTTCTTCTTTAAACCATTATTAAATTAAATAGTAAATATTTACTAAACTTTATTTTCTGCATGGAATTATCTTTGGATAAACGAATTTTATAATTGTGTGCAAAAATTTTTAAATTCGCTTAAAATGTTCTTGAGACGTATCGAATCATTTAAAAAGTAAAATTAGCATTAAGGGGTCAAAAAATTGGAGAGCCCTCCTGACCAAACTATTAGGACCATATTTCCCAGATTGGGGTTTCCCCCTATATTTTGGGGGTCAGAAATCCAAATTCGTCGAAAGAAAGGCTTGTTTATTCAGACAAAGTACGTTTTTGTGTCTGATTTCGTAACATAAATTATCGTCTGAACTTATTAATTAGCAAATTTGAGGTCACACACCTCGAGCCATTAAGTTTGAGTCCTAGAACGTAAAGATCCGATCATTAGATCAAAAATTATCTAAGGTGGTCCGTTTATTGTTTGGTGCACTCTACATTAACATTAAACCACTAATGAAATTTTCAATGTGAAATGAATAATCCTAAAAACTGAAGCAGAAAGATATACTTGTCAATGGAAAAACTTCGTTTCATAAGTACGTTTTGGAAAAAGTCGGCACGTTTGTACCACTTTTTCGGCTATCAACTTTCCCCTCAACTAACGCACTTTTTCTTGTTTTGTTAGTTCACCATTATGTTCTTTTTCCATTTTTATCGTTTATCAAAACAGACTTTTATGTCTTCAAATGTGCTATGTATCCATTATTCACGCCTAGTGAGATTTGAGGAATGAACGTCTTGGTTTGAGAATTCGCAATGTGGAATGTGGACTTTGCCAACTGAAGTTAGCAGAGTTTTTCCATTGGAAAGTTTGAAATATCCTGATCATTGCGATCAGACCACTAAAAAAAATTTATTTTTAAAAATTAGTTTCTTAATTAGATAGTTTTTTTTGGTCTAGATTGCAGATGGATTGCCAATGTATTTTACAGTTTCAAAAACAGACTTTTATGTTTTCAAATGTGCTTTGTATTCATTATTCACGCCTGGTGAGATTTGAGGAATGAACGTCTTGGTTTGAGAATTCGCAATGTGGAATGTGGACTTTGCTGACTGAAGTATTATTGAAGCAGAGTTTTTCCACTGGAAAGTTTAAAATATCCTGATTATTACGATCAGAACACTAAAAATTTAAAAAAAAAATTAGTTTCTTAATTAGTTAGTTTTTTTGGTCTAGATTGCAGATGCATTGCCAATGCATTTTACAGTTTTTTTCAACGTCTCTTCATTAGCCGATTACAAAATCTTTTTACTACTAATAATAATGTCACATTATTGTGTATTGTATTCCGCCCTAAAGATGTTATTCGAATGTAGAATTGAATCCTGTATTCATTTTAATGTATCTGCGATTTTACGTTGATTGTATGATTAACTTGTGCGCCCACTTATTTAATTCTGATATTTATGAATGGAATATGTAGAATAATTGCAATATAATATTCGAGCTAAAAAAATTGTAAAAGAGGCAGTTTTATTCAAAATTATTATAACAGAAAGAAAAGAAAAAATAGATAATAAATATTTTTAAACGATGATCTGCTAATTCATTGAGAATGTGGAAAACCTTATTCATTGAACGAACTTAGCAAAATAAAAAGAGAACTCTTATATAACTTTTGAATTCATAGTCTGATTTACACACTAAGTATCTTACTTCATAAAGTAAGCATTTGACTATTTTATGAAATAAGATGCAATTTCAATAGTCATCTTAGATCTGATAATAAATCAGAAACTACAAAGGGATTGTTTTTTATGGTTGAACTGCGATTTTCTCAACATTAATGTCTGGAGGTAAAGTACACCAATTTACTTCAAATGTTCTGTCTGAAAATCATGATTATTATATACATTTTTTATGCATTACATATGTATGCTAATTTTACAGTATTTAAAACTCAAATGAAGCATGCGAATCAGACAATAAAAATTTTAATTCGACAGCTACAAGCAAAATGTTTATAAGCACTTTAAATCTAGTAAGACTAAGGTCTTGCATCTTCAGAGCGATGCTTAAAAATTAATGAAGGCGTAATTAATGATGTCATTTATTTATAAAGGTAATAAATGTCATCATTATTGCAAAATAATATTTTTACTTCTCACCCATATATGATTGTAATGTAAATTCTACTTTTAATTAAATACAAATATTTTGCCAAGTTAAGTTCTTGTCAACAATACATCATAAATACGAAGAGGAATCATTAAGTTGAAGGCTTATGCCATGGTAAGTCAGTTGATGAGTAAATTGCTGGCGATTAAGTATTGGGCAGAAGTCTTATCAGTGTATGCAGACATATTGTTTTCAATACATCAATGTCCAAGTTTTTCAAATGCAGAATTTAAGACTGAATTAAGTTTGGTTAGTTCTTCCTTAGCAAAGGCACTCCTAAGTCTATCAATATAATGAAGATGCGGCTTAATGAAGATAATAATAAAAGTCAATTTATTTCGAGAGCTCAAAAATGGGTACCAATTTTTTAAGACTCGCATAAGGAAAACAAAAGTGATTTAAAACCGAGAATCTAAAGATGCCAACGAAAAATGGGAAATAAAAGAGAAAAATGAAACTGGAAAAATTGCAGTTGGTGAGAGTGGCAAAAAAATAACGCGAACAACAAATAAATAAAGAGAAGCGATTTTTAACGTGAAAAAAATATTAAAATCAGGAAATATTACTCAGCTAGTATCACAGAAAAAAAATTAATCTCTATATTCACATGTAAACTAATATTATTCTCTCCTGGTCTAATTTGAATATGGATGGTGTTTTCAGTAGAAATGTAAACAATCTCGAGCTCGGCACCTACTCTAGTTCCGGTTAAAATGTTTGCAGCTGCTTACTACATGTTATTCTGATAGGCGATGTTTTCAAACGGATAATTTTGTTTTCAATAAAAGATATAAATTAGATCATTTCTGAGCTCAAATCTGCCGTATTTCATAAGACATTAATGTTATTATGTAATTCTGGGGAGTTTGGAGTGAAAATTTGTTTTAGTTATTTTGTTATTTATTATTAAAAAAGGTGACATGGTTGCTAGATTTTGAATAACTCGCTTTTTTGGCAGTCTTGATTTGGCCTCTTTCCATAAGTTTATTACTGGTTGTTCTTGTTGCACGCTGTGCACCATCTTACGTTAGTGTTAACACTTTTAGCATTGTAAACACAAGTAATAAGTAATCAAATATATTTGCAAGAATCTCAAAACACAACGATGCCAAATGGCTATAAATACAACGGAAACAGTAACCCGGAAATTTATTCGGTACCGAGCTTGCAGCGTTCCCTAGTGTAGAAAACACCATCCATTTGTTGTTATTGCGTTTTCGAGTTTTTTAAATAGTGAAAGCCACAAGCTTAAGACTTAAAAACGGATATTATTTGATTATCTTTTACTGTATTTAAAGTAATTTTGTTAAGTAAATCTACAATATTACATTACAAATACTAATATAAATTATTTCCATTATATTTACTGTGGTGTATTTCTTTTGAGATTGTATGACTTTCCATGGTTATCCGGGAGCTGAGAAACGTCATCTACAGCCGCACCAATTTCGCACATGTAATTGCATTCTATTTTGAAGGCATGTTAAAATACGATTAAATTAAAATTATTTAAGCACAACTGTCTAAAATATAGATAATCAACTCCCTCAGTGGGCCGCGATTAAATTATCAAACCCTGACCGGTCCGCGGGGATTAAAAAAAGATTGGGGAGCATTGAGCGATACACCAAAGTTTGGATTTGCTTAAGCACCCCCTGCGATAGAAATGGAATCGTAAAAAAGATCTGCGATCTATTGCCAAATATATTTTAAGACTTTTTTATGCATATTTTCCATTTTGGGTTGGTATTGATATTTTCCAGATATTATGCTTGTTTAATACAATATTTACAAAATGTGGTGTAAGAATTTCTTATAAATATTTTTTAAGGGAACCAGATGAAAAGACGGATGTTTTCGAAATGATATAAAATGAACCACTGACTTTTCATCTGCTTTATTTAAAAGCTGTATAAGAAATTCTTACAACACAGATAGCTTCGTTTAGATAGCTTACAACACAGATACACTATCTGGCCATTAATGACCGGACACCCCTCATTTCGGATGCATGAGGTGCTAGTATCAAGTCAGTAGGGCGTAGGGCCGCCACGCGCCCGAATCACAGCTTTAACCCTTCTAGTAAGGCTATCCACTAGGTGTTGGTACACGGCGGCAGGTATTGCCCGCCATTCCTCCTGTAACATGGCGAGGAGTTGAGTGGTGGTTTTGGGGCATTGTGGTCTGGCCCTGAACCGGCGCTTCAACTCATCCCAGCGATGCTCAATTGGATTGATGTCGGGACTTTGGGATGGCCAGTCAAGCTCTTGCACCTCCATTTCATCAAACCAGTCCGTGATGGCATGTGCTTTATGAATGGCAGCGTTATCGTGTTGAAACACAAACGGGCCATTACCGAACTGTTGCCACAGGGTGGGAAGCGCCGAATTGTCCAGGATGTCTCTATACCCTTCTGCGTTCAGGGTTCCACGCACTAACACCAAGAGTCCAAGGTCAAACCATGAGAAACAGGACCACACCATAATTCCTCCACCGCCGAACTTCACAGTG